AAAAAGTCTAATTTCCTGCTTGTAAGGCAAATATATCAAAGGCTCTAACTCTTACATGAAGTTTGGAAAGAGCAGTCTTTTTCATTGGCTATAGAGGGAGCACACCTGCCTATTTTGTCCTCATCAAGCCCTCTTTCTCCTTTTCCAGTACACAGGCACGCAGCCTATTGACAACAGACTTGTTGGCTTCCTGTCCCTGTCCTCCTATGCTTGAATAGACTCTTCAAGATTTTCACAGCCTTTGTTCCTTCAACTTTGAAACTCCCTTTCAATTTAATAAATATAAGTGTTCACCCCAGGAACAGTAGGTGACTTTGAGATCCAAACTAATTACAATTTGTTATGCTTGGGCAGCGGGTAACAGTTTACAAATCCATTTCATAAATATTACCACATTTAATCTTCATAAAAATTCCATAATGTGAATGAATAGGTATTACTATTGACATTAAATAATTTTTTTAAAAAAAACCTAAGACAGAGATTGAGAAATGTACTATATACCAGATCTTCCCATTGCAAGTTTAGTAGACATTCCAAGGTATCACAGCTGCTCCCACTCTACAAGATGCAACTATTTCAAGCTTAGATGTCTTCTCTCCTTCCCCTGTTATGGGCTCCTTTCTTTACTGACTAACTTCCTTTCCTTTACTAACTCACCTTTTTGTACAGTAATGTTGAGGCGATCAGAGGTATAATTTATCTTCCAAAGAATGCCACTGCAGTAATAGATGCCACTGTCTTCTAATTTGGCTTTGGGAATGGAGATGTTGTGGTTTTCATACCAGTACTTGAATGCTATGTCATTCTTGTAGTAGATCACCTTGTAGACATTTCGATTCATCCAACCATGGCATCTGAGGAGGAAGGGTTCTCCCTCCTTCACCACGTCAGGAGAAGACTGAATGAGCAGCCAGTCTGAAGAGCATTTATTATGTTATTTATTTAACAATGAATAGATAGAGGATAAATGGTAGATAGATGATAGATAGATAGATAGATAGATAGATAGATGAAAGATAGATAAGGTCAAGCATAGCGTGTGTGTCAGAAACCATGTTCATCATTAATACATTCCTTGGCTCACAAGTTCAATAAAAAGAAAACATAGTAATACTTAGAACCTGCCTTCTATATTGATAAATCCTCTCTCCTCTTGAAAAGTAAGTCTCAGGTCATACAATTTCTCTGAAATTTCTGCTGAGCCTATCCATGGAAGGTCTGAAACCCAGTATTCCCTTTATCTCCAGTGTTGTTAATTCTAGTCATTGAGAGGGAATACACCTATTTTGCCTAGGGTGTCAGCCTAGGAGAGTATCTATTTTGTCCTCTTTTATCTCATAGGAGCTT